CCCAATTCTAACTCAATTATGTGCTAACGACGAATTTTAAGATATTCACTAAGCTAAATAAGTCTGTAAGTCTAGGTTTCTTCCGGCGATCTTCCGGTGAACTTCCGACGATCTCTCGGTAATGTTCCAACAGACTCCCGGCAAGCTCCTGGACTTCACGATGATCTTCTTGGCAAGTTCCGATGAGCTTCTTTGGCAAGCTCCTGGACTTCTCGATCAATTCCGGCAAAACTTCTAACGAACATCCGAACTTCTGACAAACTCTCGAACTCCTAATGAAATCTCGTTCTTGACTTTGGGACTTCATTTTGCTTTATGCCTTGATCGCTATCATAGTTAACCCTACACACTTAAAACCCACTTCGATCTAGACAATTTTTATAAAGCTTGAATCAAGTGTTGTCCGGCATGTCATTGGTTTATCGACGCTTCGTCTAATTCTTCGATGCATTGTCCTCTCTTGTGGCCTATTGCCCAATTGGTCATTTGACCTTTGCGACTCTGATTTTCTTAGCGTAATTTTTGCTCTTCTTGGCCTGATGCTCGAACCCATGGCCTGAAGTCTTTTGCCGATACGTCGACCGATCCTTCGGCTCGACGTCTAATCTTTTGATATATTTTTCTCTGACATAACATGATTCTTCCTGCTTTAATTGTCTCTCCCTGATTGAAGTTTCCTGTGTCACTCCAAACATAGATCAAATTATAAACACTATCAATTGGTTTTATTATCAAAATATGAGATTCAACAATACAGTCTTCCAAGCGATGGTACCGCCAGACTAGGAGATAGTAATGTCAGTACCTCAAAAATCAGGGATAAGACTCTTTTAGGCTCCAAGTTTAAATCCACTTGAGGCCTATAAATACCTCTCTCATCCCTGGTTAACATACACAAGAATTGAGAGCAAAAAAGAGTAGAAAAATTCTGTTGTAATCTTGTGAGAACTCCTCTCAAGCTCTAAGTGTTAGTGTGGTTTAAGAGAGGAGTAAGTGGGGGTGTAAAGGTTCTCTCCTAAACTTGTCAAAAGGAGAATCAAGTGTAAAAGGGTAGTTGATTTTTGTCCGTTGAAAAAAGATCGTTAATGGATGCCGATGGCCTCGATAGAAGAGGAATCGGCAGAGTGGATATTGGTCACGACGATCGAACCACTATAAAAATCTAGTTTGCATTTACTTCTTACTATTTACCTTTATTGCAAACTGAATTCTTACTTTCACTACATTGTCGTATGCTTTCAAAGTTAAACATCTTCCGAGATTAGTTTTAATCGAAATAAATATTTTTGACTCAATGTTATTTTACCACTGCACTAATTCACCCCCCCACCCCC